AACCATATACCTTTTAATGTTTCATAATCTCAAACACAAACATAAAACTATGTAAAGCATCGTCAACGTGCCCGGCCCCGAGCTTGCGCAGGGGGCTATGAACCTAATTATAATAATGTTCTTGATCTATTACTATTTTCTTTAGTTAACCTCTTTACTTTTATTTTTATTTATTTTATTTTTATTTTTTTGATAAGTACATGAATTCATTACTTTGTAATGCGCATTTAATACAAGAAACTTGAATCAAAGAAATGCTAATAGCAAAGTTATGATAAGAACCAGTCGTGCTATATATGCTTGAAAGAACATGCATGCTTTTTTTTTTTTCTTTTTGTCACGAAACAGAACATGCATGCTTCAAGTTTAATTATTGATGAAAATATATAATTTTGAAAATTATGCATGTATAAAAAATTGTTTTTTATCGTAAACTTAATGACATGTAAGGTAATTCGAACTCGGATCAAATCCCTTCAGATCGGTCATTTTTGTTTGTTTTCGATCATTTCGCAGTTAACCAATACAGTCTAGTTTGCATGACCAATTTAACTTCAAAAGAAAAATATCAGATTTGGAAGGTCCGCATAGCCCTATATTCTGTGCAACACAATCATACTAAATATATCCATCACAAATAGATCTTTTTGAACTGAAAGGAGACAAGAAAACAAATACATTAAATATTTTCAACAATAATGGGAAGCTACTCGGTCACACTCCACAAGTGGCCTTTGTTTTTGTGTTGTTTCGTTAAAAGGGTCTCGAATAAATGGTGTGGAATACTTTCTCCTTACCTCCCTTTCTCTCTCGCTCCAATATAATGATGAACCCCTCACTTCCTTTGAAATATAACACAATCATCAAGTTACATCAGAACCTCACAATAAAAGAAACAAAAATACTTCTATATATATATAGAGAGAGAGAGAGAGAATCAGTGATGGAAAACTCAAAGGATGAGACAGTGAAGAATTGGGAGAAAAAGAAGAAGAAGTCTTCTTCACCTAAACGGGTTCGAGAGTTTCTGAAAAAGAAGAGAGGAAGGTTCTACATTATTCGAAAATGTATTTTTATGCTTATTTGTTCGCACGAGTAATCATCAACTCACAGATTATATACGGATGATACTGAAGGCATGAAAAGGAGATCATATAGCTCAAATAAGAACATAACATATTTATTGTATCCGTTGTCTTTCTCTCAGCTTTATGCGGGTCGTATGTTGTTGTTATATATATTGTTGATATTACTCAATATTTTTCTTGCCAGCTGTACTTGTATATGTGCCCCCAAAATGTTTTTTCTTATCAACGCATGGTTAATTTAATTTGATCATATTGGGTCATTTGTTTTCTTAAAAGAGTACGTCGTTTCTATATATAGATCATGCGACGTTATTCTTACCGTGGTAAATAAGTTGATATTACTTTTTAACGCCTCATTAACCATAAGATGGTGATTTAGTAGTACGCGGATCAGATTCGAAAATACCTCACTACAATATATTTTATGACCACACGGATATAAATTTATTTTATGACTTATTTAAATATCCTGAGTGAGAGTTCATCTGTGGACTGCACCACTCTTTCGAGAATTAGTATGTGTCTCTATGTAGGATGAGAATATCTTCCAAAGTTAAAAAATACACACACACATATATATATTTTATATATTTGACGTCTGATTTTTACATAATGATAAGAGATTTTAGAAAATGAAACATTAAAACTGAGGCTTTGGCCTAGTTTTGATAATTTTAATAGATTTTTGTCAGAATTTTAGTCTCTCTACCGTCTGTGTAACTCAGGAATGGTTTACCTAATGGCTCAAACTAGAATTAATAATGTCTTCTAGCCTATAAGCTAAGATTTGCTTTATCTGGATGTGTTTAGGTTTTATTACAAGCAAAACAGAAAGAAAAATATATTGAGTTTTCTCTCAGTATCATGTGGATCTCTTATTCCAAAACCAAGAAA